TGTCCCCATCACTCGAGGCTGGGTTTTGGTCAACACTCAGTTGGACCTACTCTCAAACACCCTCCAAGATAACTAAAGAAAAAAAAACATTTTTTTGCTCTTTACACCAGGACATCTGGTACTGGTGCATTTGTGTTAAATCCTACAATCACATAGCAAAGGAGACTTCTGAAGCAGCATGAAACAGTTTTGCAAGATGGTCTTTCCAGAGACACAACTGAAGAAAGCACAGAGGAGATTGCTTGAAAATGAACCTGCTGAAGGACAGAGCCTACAATGACACCAAGAATGCAGAATGTGATGCTTTCTCGTGTGAATCTTGACATTTCCTGGATGAAGTCATCATTGATGAGGTGAATTCTGCATGTCCATCTTGCAACCTCATCAGTGAGGATCCCATCTAGAAAATGGGCACATATAAAGCAAGAATTAACTTCCATAGGGATGCAGGTAGAGGAAGGGTTGTCTGAGATCACCATAGTAGTTAGGGTTGGAATTTCTCAACTGGACTGCCCATATCATCCAGGTTTGGATGGTGCCACCAATGCCCAGGAATGCAATATTCTGCCTGGGAGATTTTTAATGACCTAGACCAAAGTCCATAGACCTTTTAGGCACAACTTGGTTCTGCTGAATTTGATTCAGCTTTGAAGAATTAAGGCAAGAATATTTTAGGTCTGACAAATTCTCCTGGTATACATGACTTGCATTTTCAGAAAGGTGATATATGAAAGGAAACCTGTTGAACAGAAAGCTTTTAGTCACTTTGCTGGTCGGGAAAAAAAAAAAAGATATGCTTCATGAAGAAATAAAAAGGGAATGTCTGGGCTGCCTGCTAGAATTTGTTTAGCTGAATAGCAGAGACAAAGTTGAAACTGCAATAATGTAAATGCTTCAGTATAATAAGTCATTACAGATTTTTGAGAAAATTAACTGGTTTATTTTGAGCTCTAATACTTCCACTGCACTGTCTGTTGTCATTACAAATTATTAGAAATCAAGTCTAAAAATTTGCAAACAAAAGGAGACGTCACCAAAGCAAACTCACGTTCGGACTTAGCAGGGAGAAGTATTGACAGCAGGTCTTTTCTGCCTATCTAGCACGTAACTTCCTGAGAAGATTTTAATATCACTCGTCAGAAACTATCTGACACAGATAACAAAGTGCTATTTTGGTGTCATCTAATATGAGCCTAATCTAGCAGTGCTTCTGAAAATATGAACTGTCTGGTTTTGTAAGAGAACTGCAGCTGCACACTAGAGGCATAATTAGCAAACAACCAATCCCTTCAGTTAACAAAGCAGTAAGACAGTACTTTCTTTTCCTCAGTGGAGGAGTTATTCTTTAGAGAAATAAGTTACCATTTACAGCTTTTTTTACAGTTCATCCAGTGAAAGCAATACCTCTTTCTAAGTTCCCATCTCTCTGTTGCATAGAGATGGTGTACATGTAACTTTAAAAGCATTTCTGGTGTATTTTTGAGGATGTAGTGTGTGAGGGAACAAATGCAAATAATCAGAAAACTGCAGGTTTTGGTCAGAAGTTGGATAATGGGAGCCCACCTCCATGTGTCAAGATTTAGCTTTCCATTAATTTATCAGGATGGTCCTCCATGCCATGTCTGTGGAGACAAGTGCCTGCATTTTCAGAGCTAATGTTCATGTGAAGCAAACACTTCCTGAGATTCTGAAAAACAGGGGAGTTTGAGTTATGATTCATCTTACTATATGATAAACCACCATATTTGATTAAAGGAACCACAGTCCTGGATTCCTTGGGTGCAGCTAAGCTGCTGGGCCCTTGGCTGTTTGAAGGTGAGGTTTTCGGTTTCAGCTGGATGTTTATTCTCCCTCTACAGTCAAAGAAGGGAGACGCAGCTCTACAACATGATCGATCCTGCCTGGAGTCCATAACAAACCCCAGAGTTTTAAATCTATGTGTGGCCCCATACCTGCAACACTTTTGTATGCAGAATCCATCCCACCTTTAAGTGAAGGGGAATTGAGCCCCATTTAGATGTTCATTAGTCTTTTTCTCTGTGAAGGGTCTGAGTCTTGTAAATCAAGTTATTTTTCTGCTCACTACAGATCTTAACTTCCTCTCACTCTCTAACACATAAAGAAAGCTGGTGTGATGGAATGATAAGGTCTTGCACTTTAAAGTTCTAAATTGTGCAATTTCTAAATTTCCATGGTTTCCTACCTGGTCTCTGTCTCGTATATTCAGACTTTTAACTTCAAATCATCCTAGTGGGTAATAGGCTCATGCAACACCCCGCTTTGCTTTCTCTACCTCCCATTCGTGCTGTTTTCTCAGTTTTATTTAATTGTTGGAAAGCCATGCACTGCGCAGGTACAAAAGAACTTGAAACATAATCCTCTTGCTGTACTTTGGATCTAGGTGTGTAGGCAAATCAAGCCTTTGGATACCTCCTACTACGGTTGTTGGTATCTGCAGGTATTGGATGGAATATTGCACCCAAGGGCAAAAAATTGCTCGTGGTGAAAGTTCAGGTTTAATACTTGCAAGCTTTACTGAGGAAATTAGTGAAGTCTATCCCTTCTATAGATATGGAAAAAGAAAATATGAGTGTTCGGGTAATAGAAGCCAAAGGTTCCTTACTTCAATAACCCATGCTGAATTTAAAGTGGATACCTTGGATTTTGCTGTTCAGGTAAGGAATTAAAATCTGGCTGAAACAGAATTGTGAATGATTAGGTTTTTGGACAGATTTGCATTAACATTGAGCTGGCGGTTTGCTATTTACAGCCCCCAGGGAATGATTCCGGTTTGGAATTAAAAAGGCTTCTTTCTTGCCTGGATCAGTGGGAATACGTTACTGTCATTTGTGGGTGCCACTGTAATGAACTTGTTAAAGATCATTCAAGTTTCTTTTCATTTACTGCCTTAATGTAATGAATAAAACAACCTGCTTGCTTAAGAGTGGATAATGCCTAAATCTGATCTATGATTTTGATTTTGAATCAGATGCTACCTGCTAGCACCCTTTATTAAAGAGATTAGCCACTGAAAGGTTAATTGTTATTTGTTAGGTTGCTCAAAAGAGAGAGTTTGCTGGAACTGTTGTGATGGATGGGGTTGGTTTGAGGACTGCAACGTGCTGATTCTGAGACATATTTCCACTTACGAAAGCCAATGTATTTACTCTTTTTGCATCAGAAATATAGACTTGTTATGTGTTTGTCTGGTAGGCATATACCAATATGACTTATTATATATGCCTTGATACAAATAATCTTAATTAATGAAGTATAACACAGGTATACATTTATTCTGTAGGTAGTCAAGATTAAGGATACAGATTTTTACATTCATGTACATGCAAGCAATAAATCTTTGCTAAACTTTCCAGCTGGTGAATGGTGCAAACCTGTGGCATTTATTTTCTGTCTTTCCCTTTTTAAAAATAATTTTTGGCCTCTGTCTGAGAGCCTTTAGCCTTATTTGGAGGAGTGTAAAACAGAAATAAATCGAAAGCAAGACAGACAAGGCTCTTTACCTTTGCTGCAGTTTTTAATCCTTTTGATTCTTCCTTCACTCACTCTAGATCTTGGAAAAGCCAGATTTCCATTCGGGTGAATAGTTAATCGTTCAACAGAAATAGCAATGAATGAGTGCAGATTACAACAACGGGCTTGGCGTTCTGCAGTTGCAATCCCTAGCTTCATTGTTGACTCTTTACTGCTTCATGCTTCTCCTTTGTTAGGAAAGCAAAGGTAAACATGAGTTAGCCTTCACAAGGAAGGGAGCACCGAGCATATTCTGCAGACCTCGTACATGAACAAGAAATGCATCTGGGCTCCGAGAAAACCAGTCCCTTCTGATGCTGAGTTTGGTGATAGGAGTAGCCTAGGTTGGTGTAATTTTTTTCAGAGTTCACATGAGAAGCTCTGGGTGGAGGAAAGTACTTACATTTTATACTAAAAGACCTGTTGAAACATTGGGTGAGATTCTGCGCACCTACATTTACACCCCTAGACTCTGCATGCCAGTGTATCCTCTCTGACTTTCTTTACAGCAGTCGATAGGTTGCTTCATCTTTCTTCCATATTTCTCTCCAAGTATCCAAACTTACTTACTTAACTCATATACAGCAGGTGAATTCCACCCATTGTTGCTTTTGCTGACTTTATGGGCCTGGAATAATCATTTGACAGCCAATGTGTGTTACTTAGGTCAGGAATTTCCCAAGTTGAAGCTGTGGTTTCAAATGGCATGTGCATCTCCTAATGTTAGAAGTGTGTAAGCATTGTCTTCAAAACAGGCATGATGTAGCAATTTATTTTTTGTCTTCTGGCATTTTTGAAGATCCTTTCTAGAAATCCTAGCTTCTTCCTCCAACTAACAACGACAACAGAAGTTTTGACCAAGCAAGTAGGAGTAAGAGAAACAACATATGGAGTTTCAGTGCACGGTAGATGCTTTCTAGCAGGACTTGGAAATGAATGAGCTTTTTAAAGACTTGTGACTGCCTCATGGTCTCACCTGCCTGAAGTTAGACACATCCTATTGGGTTTAGATTTAGCCTCACATCAGCTAGAAAAATGTTGCTATCCTGGCTAGAGGTTTCCTGAACACTGAGTGTCTCATGGACACTTGGGGACCAGGCCTGTGAAGTGCCCTTAAGATCCAACATAATGCCCTTCTAAGTCTCAAAAATACCTCTCTTTTCTCTGGTGGCCAAACGTAAGTCTTAGAATCACAACTTAATTGATTGACTTCCATTAAAAGCAGCTTATTCTGTTCTTTTCCTAATTTCACTCAAAGGTACCTAAACACCTTGAGGATTTGTCCTTGTGTCACTCCATAGATAGCAATAGATAGAGAAATGTATGGCCCTAGTTTGATTCTCTCTTCCCATCTTCTGTTCTGTGCTTGAAAAGATTACAGGAATCTGGTAAGATTTGCTTATTGATGACTTACAAAACTGCAAGGCGATGGGTTCCAGATACCAGCAGGTGACAACTCTTCACATCATTATTTTCCTACAGATAATTCACTCGGTCACAGGTAAATCTAAGTTTTGTTCTAATCACACTTTCATTTAAAAAGATATCTAATTTCCAGAGCTTGTGGATAGATCTAGAAGTTTAAAAAAAAAAAAAAAAAAAAAAAAAAGATTTGATGGGTTTTTTTGGCAATGCATATTTTATTTGCAATGCATTTGTAGCAATACTTTTTATTTATTTATTTATTTATACATATATATATATCAGACACTCACCATTCCCTCCACTCATTTTCTGAAGCCAGAACCAAACAGTAGCATTCTATGAAATCTTAATACACTTCAATGATGCAGATGGTTCAAGACCTAGGCAATACTAACGACTCACTTAAACCTTCAACACGGGATAATAAGCAGATTCACAGGCCCCCCATGACTGTTTTTCAGGGAACTTCCTTTCTCATTTTTGGAGTAATTTTTCAGCTTGGCTGACCCTGTCACTGTATCATGCTGAGAAAGTCTAGGTTCCTTTGTGTATCTCGCACTTAGAGTAGTGAACTGAATGGGAAAGCAAGCTCTGTAAAGGGCTGTCAGTATTTTTGCTGTTAAACCTCAGCACTGAGCTTGTCCTTTTTCATTAACAACCATTTTGCAACAAGTAGCCTGTGTTTGAAATGGAATGTACTTACTGCGGTGTGTTTCATCACTGAATGCAGCCATCCTAGTGAAAAGATTATGGACATCTGAAATGGGGTAGGAAAAATCCTGCCTTTGTGAGTTCCAGCTTTACAAAATGAGCTAGCCTTTCTGCGTGACAGACATGCCATTTCTATGTCTGAAACAGTCTGCAGTCTGAGCTCAGTATTTTCAGCAGCATCTCCCTGAGGTTACGTTGTGTCCTTAGGATAAGTGGTAGGGGTGAAGGATGGTAGAGGATGGCAAGGGCCTTCAGTTACAAAACTGTGCTTGTACGTTCATATGGACCTACAAAGATGTGATCTGATTACTGTCACAGGACATCTTCCTCTCCAATCCTCTCGTCCCATCAGTCTATGCCTGGTAAACTAGCCTTTACAGTGGGAGATTATGGAACTTGCTCCTGAGATAACATCCTGGTCCAGAGCATTTTCTGGTTTATTGATTTTTACCAGAGGAGAACAGCTCTTTTTTCTTGTGTTTACATACCTGTATGTATTCCAGTTTCCTATAGGAAGTTCTAATGAGAACATTTGTGACAGTACCGCGTCCAGCTCTGGAGTCCTCAGTACAGGAAGGACATGGACCTGTTGGAGCGGGTCCAGAGGAGGGCCACAAAAATGATCCGAGGCATGGAGCACCTCTCCTATGAGGAAAGGCTGAGAGAGTTGGGGTTGTTCAGCCTGGAGAAGAGAAGGCTTGGGGGATACCCTCCTGCAGCCTTTCAATACTTTAAGGGGGCTTCTAAGAAAGATGGGGACAGGCTTTTAACAGGCTCACCTGTTGTGACAGGACAAGGGGTAATGGTTTTAAACTAAAAGAGGGTAGATTCAGACCAGATATAAGGAAGAACTTTTTTACTGTGAAGGTGGTGAAACACTGGAATAGGTTGTCCAGAGAAGTGGTAGATGCCCCATCCCTGGAAACATTCAAGTTCAGGTTGGATGGGGCTCTGAGCAACCTCACCTAGTTGAGGATGTCCCTGCTCATTGCAGTGGGGGTTGGACTAGATGACCCTTAAAAGTCCCTTCCAACGGAAACTATTCTATGATTCTAAGACAGATAAAATTTATATCTATGTCTTCTTGCAGGCCAGTATGAAATTATTGCTCCTGATCAGCCTGTCATTGGAGTCATTGGAAAAGGAGTCATCCTGCCCTGTCAGCTGAACGTTAAGATAATCCCTGAGAGACTTTCTGTTCAGTGGATATTTACTGGGACCTCCAAAACAATTGATGTGATCACTTATGATGGAAAAAACACATACAATCCAGTTAGTGAGGACAAGACATACCAGGGCAGGACGAATTTTTTTCAGTCTGAATTTAATAAGGGAAATGTGTCTCTTCACCTGAAAAATGTCATGCTCTCAGACAAAGGGAAATACACCTGCAGTGTCTTTTTTGAGAACTGGTATGATGAAGTGGTGGTTGACCTGGATGTGGCAGGTGAGTGGAATGGCAGGCATTTGCTACTTCTTCCTCAGTCCAGTCGTATAACATGAGAAAGGTCTATGGAGTAGTAATGGGTTGGATTCATCTCACTTGCTCTTAGCCGCATGAAAGACCAGCCTCTGCTATAGCTTAGGCTACCTCTGTTGCCAGCAGACTCTGAATAGCCAGAGATGTCTTTTTGCCATGTCTTATAGAGGGAGCGTAGGCAACACCTTAGCTTTAAAACATTTAAAGGTAGGAGAGAGATGAATCCTATGGTAAAACAAGCCTGGTTTTGCAGAGGTGAAGCAACTGAAGCTTGACTGAAACTGCAGCTGGCAATGAAACCCATTTCTCGCTCTCTTGGCCTACACATCATCTAATTTTCTGTCCAGTATTCCAATTTTCATCTATTCATGGTGTCATCCAACTTTGTTTTACCAACAAATTTCCAGTCAGTGCAATGCGACTTTATTTTAATTCCAGTTGTTCATGGAGATAACAAAAATCAGTCCAAAATTCTGTCTCTATCAGGACTGTAAAAGGGAAGTTCTGTGCAAATGTCCCATTTTAATGTAACCCAGGAAGAGCTACTTGCCAGCAATTTAATGAGAACTAAAATTTCAAATCTGATGAGTTTATACAAAAGTAAATCAGATGTTTATAGAGAAATCTGGGGAAGACCTCCCCACCATATACTGTTTGGTGAGAGAATATCTTGTCTCCTGTTTGTTGGAGCTTGTTTGTTTGCTGTTCTATAGCTAAAGGGGATGAGTCTTCAGTTTTCCTGGATGGTCATGTGGGTCAGGGCATCAGCCTCACCTGCAAGTCACAGGGATGGTTTCCAGAGCCCAAAGTAGTTTGGCTGGACAGCAAAGGACAGATGCGGAAGGAGGAAGTGTCCACCATAAGCACAAAGACTTCTTCAGGCGTTTTTGATGTTGTAAGTTCCATAAATCTTGAACCAGGATCTGACACAGAAGTCTCCTGCAGAGTAGTCAATAACCTACTCAATGCAATGTGTGAATCCCGAGTCCTGATTTCAGGTGAGTGACCTCCGGGATCAATCGCTGTCAGGACCACTTAGTAGGCTGCTGTCCGTTGTCTCTCCATTGACCCTGGAGTGATACTGGACACCCAGCTGAAGCACAAATGACTAGTGTTTAGAGGGATAACGTGATAAGAAGTCCATCTTTATGTCTTACGTTACTTGTTACATTCAAGATACATCTTAGCTATAAGTACTAATGCAGAGCTCTTGTTAGCTGCCACCTGAGAGCACTGGGCCAGTTTGGAGAGGGAAGGATTTAGAAGTGCCAATGGGGAGAGCAAAGGCCCTACAATGCTGCCAGGGTACCCAGCACAGTGACCTGAGACAGCTGGAGTATGCTGATAGGAAATGCTGAGTGTCTGCTCCCATCCCCTTCTCTCTCCCTAACACCACCATGATTACTCTGAGCTTCAGCATGTGCTTCCCTCTAGATGATTCCTAGAAAGCAGGCAATTTTATTTCAGAAAGGGAAGAGGGGGATCCTTTTTTTCCATCTGAAATGCCACTGAAGACAGTTCTGCTTTGCTGAAAACTTCATCTTGTGGTTCAACAGTGCAAATAGTGGCCTCAGAGATGGGCTGCTCAGCGCATATCCCTCATAAAGAGGCAGCTTCTCCAAACGTGCCTCTACCCATGGCAGTCTGAGTCTGAATGAGTGTGAGTCTACGCAGTGTAGGAGCACAGTTTGATTGCCTGCACGTAGGCGTCTGATACTGTCTCTGATGGCCTGGAATAGCTGGCAGTGCAGCACGTGGATGTTTTGGGATTCAGGGGAGACCTGCAGCCTTCAGGGGTGGCAGGAGGAGACCGTAAAGGATACGTTACAGCAAATAAAATGGCACTAGATGCACATGCTTTGGCCACTGGAGCCTGTCTTAGTTGTTTCGCAAACATTCAGTGAAAGTAACACCATTTATATTTTACAGATGTCTTCTTTCCTTCCACTTCACCTTGGATGACGGCCTTCCTTGTAATTTTATTTCTTAATATAGCTGTTATTGCTGCTATAGCTTATAAACTAAACAGTAAGTATTTCCACTTACCACGGTTGATATGGAAGTTTTCATCTACAGTGCAAAATACAGTTAATGAAAACATACATAACATTTTGACATCAGATTCAGAAAGAAAGATATGGGAGGGAGAGAGAGAAAATTAACAGATGTCTAGTTAAAAGTCGAGTATGGGTGGGGGCTGCATGTGTGTGAATGCACAGAGCATCTTTTACAGGGAGGTCACTAATATGAGATACCATTCTGTATGATCACAGATATTTACAGGCACAGAATATGATTTTAGCTTTTACAATAGTGGATTTTTTTTTTTTAAAAAATCTCATTGTAAAATGAGAAACTTTGAAATTATGCTTCAATATTCTCAATTCTCACCTTGTTTAAAAATAAAAAAAAAAAATTACAAGTTTCTTTGCTTTTTACAGGTAGTTTTACACAATCCCGTAATGCAGGTGAGTAATGAAGAAGCTAAATATAAACCCACATGAACATATGTTAGGAGAAAAGTTTATGCTTCTCAGCCAGCAACAGTCTCAGGAGCAGTTGTATAGGTGTGATAATAGTGCAGGCATGATCAATACTTAAGTATTTCAGTTTTGCAGAACATGAAAGTGCAGTGAGGGTATTGGGACACTGCTCAGCTCTGAGTACTGCCACTGCTGCTTAAGCAGGGAGGTTTAGTGCTTTCACTTATAGGCAGATCTCATTGTTAGCACAGATAAATTGGGGTAGTCTCCTGCTGTGTAGACTCCAATGCAATACAGTTAATGGCTTCTATTGCTCCAGAGCTCATTCAGCTGTTCCTCAAGACAAGATTAGAAAAAAAAAAAATATATATATATATACTGAAATGTCAACAGCAGCTGATGAATCCAATACAAAGACTGTGTTTTATCTGCCTGCCTACTTGCATGTGGAAGTTCTCCTTGCTACTAGCATTTCTCCAGATGGGAGGTTGTAGAGTGGCCTCTTCAGTAAATAGTTGCTGTTCCAGTAGCTCTTTTTTCTTCAGGTATTTCTAAGGTCTTCTGGTATTGAAATAACCCTCTCTTAAAATGACTTAGTTTCTCTACAGAACTGGTAGGTTCAGCTTTCAGCTAGCATTCCAGATCCTATGACTGGTATAATTTATTTCTTATTGTTTTGAGACACTGAATAATTAATATTGCTTTTTTTTTTTCCCCCCCAGTAAGATTGAGGAAGAGCATGGTAACAGGTAAATTCTCCTTGAAAACTGTGAGGATATCTTGAAAACACAGAAGCAAAGACACTGTTCTAGGGCATTTTGATTTCTGGGACATGAATTTCAAAAGTAGCAGTCCTTATTGGCATAAAGGATTCGATGACAATTGGTCACATTGTCCTTTATAATTAAAAAGTATTGACCTCTCCATAGATAGCCTGAAGTAGAGTAAATCCCTCAGGGTAATCCTCTGATGCTTGCAAGATGGTGAACAGACTGAGACACCGTGATCTAGTAGGATTGCAGTAATATCTTGAGGTATAACCTTATCGATGCTGTAAGTGCTCTGAAAATGCCATCGTTCTATGCCAGGTTTATGCTCCACTTTTTCCATGGCTGGATCACAGTAGTCCATGTATTCTGTCTTTTGTCTCCTCTGTTTTAACCTGCTAATAATTCCCAAGATTATTAGAGAAAATAAAATTAAATAACAAGCCTGAACTCTTCACTGCTAAATTTTACCCCATGGCTTTGACACTGATCTTGTCATCCAGACAGTCTAGCCTGAAGAAACAAGTAACAATTCCTGCTGCAGTTTCTGCAAATTCTGTGTGTCGTCAGCATATCTTTCTTGTCAAATAATAACAGTAAACAAGACGTAGTCTAGAGGAGCTCCCTTATCTTATTTTGGTCTTTCAACTTACCAGTGAAATTCAATTTATTTAAGTTTCTAAAACAATAGAAGTCTCAGGGTCTTCCTGAAAGTCTTGGGTTTGTAGTCAGCTAAGAGAAACAGGAACATTCAGAGAGAGATCAGAGTCAAACTGTTCGAGAAAGCTATTATTGGGAAGATGACTTGGGAGGTGGGGAATGGACCTCCTACATTGACTATAAGGGACCTACAAGGCAACTAGATGAGATAAGAGACACTCAGCTTGGAGATACCTAAAAGAGGTCAGATGAAGGTCATCTCATCTCTCTAGCTGGTTAAGGTCTCCTCCAAATTTATCTGCTAATTTACCTCTTTGTTTATTTGACTTCATAATTCTCCATGTTACTCAACCTTCTTTACCTCACCAAATAGATCCAGTTGATCATGTCTGGCCCTATGTTAATATATTATTGAAGAAAAAGAAAGTAAAAGGATTTAAGAAAACATTGTAATTAAACTTTTAAAATCTGATACTGAAACTCATACATTAATAATCGTGTATGATTTTTTTCAGAAAAAGAATCTTGGAAGACACAACTAGGTAAGAATACAGTTTTCCTGTTCCTTTTAGTACTTCTAGGGTGCATACTATTTACATCCCCAAAAGAGCAAATGAGATGCAGATTTTTACACGAAGTACTTCTGGATGTGTCTGTTCCCATTAACAAACATTTTTATGGTCTGTTTTCAAGTTTGATTATAAATTCAGAAATTATCCATTTTCCAAGAACTAGTTGGAGCTTTAGTAACTGAGGACAATGAAATCATTTAAAAGCTCATCTCATCATTTTTACCTTCTAAATTAAACCAACTGGCCAGCCAGTAACGTGTGGTTTTTTTTTTTCTTTCCTTTTTTGTTTTGTTTGTTGATCAACTTAGAATCACAGAAGAACACAAACACAGCAGGTAAATATAGTTCTACAATTAAGACAATGTTAACCAACTCTTACAAGCAGGTATAAATGAGAGAATGAAAATAAACTACTTCATAAAAAAGCATAGCAGCTTACCTTTATTCAAATGATTGTTACTTCTATTTCATTTTTAGTTACTGCTAAAAAGTATTATTTAGTGTGGCTCTACTTCTAAGGGGCTTGTAATACTTTTGTCTTTCTGTGTAATCTCTCTGCCTGGAGTCTTGCTGACTGTACTGAGATTTCTTGAAGCTCCGTCCTGCTGCTCCTGTTCTCTTTCACCGTCTGGTCAAACTATTCCAACAGCTGTAACTAGCATCACAAAGCCAAAAATGTATGGCTCGGACTCTGTATCCTGAGAAATATCCGCTTGGATGTTTAGCTACGTACAAAATAAGTACTAAATACTATGCCATGTCATGCTTCCCCTTCTCTTCCTGCTTCATCCCTCAGCTGAGATACCCACCTGGAGCAGACATATACAGCGAAGTCCCTCCTGGAGTTCAGCTCCTTTTGGATGAGTAGGCCTCCTGAATGCCAGGCAGGAGACTTTAGGGCATCTCAAATAACATTAGAGAGCTTGTGCCTATGAACAGACAGTAGACAAATAACATTAGACAACTTCTGCCACAATAAGGAGAATACTATCAGTACCATCAATATTGATCAGCAATATTGCTAATTGCACCTAGAGAACTCAGAACCAGACACCTGCATTTGGTCACCTAAGCCTGCATACCAAACTATTTTGACTATGTTCATTTGGGTTGAAATTCAGCTGTTTATACTAGGAGATCTAGATTCTGCTGAGATGCCATGAGGTTTCCTGCCCAGGGCACACCATTTCAGACAGCACTGGAGGTGGACAACTAAGGGAAGAAGGGTAAGAAAAAGAAAAAAAGAGTGGCATAACTCCACAATATAGAAACACTGCAGTATAGTTGTGTTAATTTATACCTGGCTTTTATCCACAACATATGCTTTTAAGAGTTTAAGTTGATACGTTTTCACATGGCAAATTTTAAAGGAAAAAATCATTTCAGTATTTGCACAGTGATAGAATTTCCTTCGGATCTCACCTCTTAATCGCTATCTCCTCAAGTTTTCATTTCATTTATTAAAGTTTTTTTTTTACAGCAATGTCTGAAAACAGAGATCACCTTGGTAAGAAAA